ATGGAGGGGAGTAGTGTGGAGTGAGGAGGGTGACCCCTTACCTCAGCAGTCCCGCGAAGCATGGTTTCCCCCAAATACCCCCCCCAGATCTTGGCGTCTCCTCGTGGGTCCCCAAAGTCTTGACCTTCCCCCCCCGCCAATCTAGCGCCCGCCCGAGGCCGCGCCCAAATCTTGGACTCTCCCTCCTGGTCCCCCAATCTTGGAGCTACTGCCCCCAGGTCCCCAAATCTTGGAGCTCCCCCCGCCGGCCCCAGCGGGAGCGCCCGCCCCCAGGTCATCCTCCCAAATCTTGAGCTCTTCCCTCCTGGGTCCCGCCAACCTTGGAGCTCCCCCATGCCCCAAACTGGCGCTCCCGCCCAACCAGCCCGCGCCCACTGCAGCCCCGCCCTCAAGCCCCGCCCGCATTCCAGGCCCCACCCACTCCGAGGCCCCGCCCCCCTACTCCAGGCACGCCAACTCCAGGCCCCGCCCACTGCAGCCCACCCACTCCCAGACCCGCGCCCAGCGCCAGCGCCCGCCCCTCACGTCCAGGCCCCGCCGCAACTCAGCCCGCCCCCCATCGTGGAAGCCGCCTTCCTGCCGCGCCCACTCCAGGCCCCGCCCCACTGCAAGCCCCGCCCGCCCGGCCCCGCCCTCCACTCAACGACCCCGCCCCTGTCTGCAGGGGACGCACGCCCCTCCCTGCGCAGATCACATCCCCAACCAGCCGGGGCCTCGGTTTGGGGGTTCGGGGGCGCAGAGCGGGACTCGCCCTCCCCCCCACGCGGCGATCGGGGACAGACCCGAGCCCGGCTGCTGGGGGTGGGGCTGCTGCTTCCGGGTCTGTGACTCTACTTACCCAAACGCGAAAAATATCCACCCCCCGCCCCGCCCCCCACCCCCGTGCTGGGCCCGCCCGAGTCGTGAAACCCACCGACAGGACCGGAAATAGCCAGGCCTCCAGGTAGAGGCTGGCCTCCAACTCCCAGCCTCGGCCTCACCCGCCCGCCGGCGATCCTCCCTCCCGGGCCTCACTCTCGCTCCGGCTGCTGGCCTCACTCCTCTGGCCTCGACCCCTGGGGATCCTCCCTCCTCAGCCTCCCAGAGCTCAGACTGGCCTCCAACTCCCGGCCTCCACCCCTGGCGATCCTCCCTCCTTAGCCTCCCAGAGCTCAAACCGGCCTCCGACTCCCAGCCTCAATCTGCCTGCCCATCCTCCCTCCTCAGCCTTCCAGAGCTCAGACCGGCCTCCGACTCCCAGCCTCAACCCGCCTGCCCATCCTCCCTCCTCAGCCTC